TCCTGATAATATTCTCCAACTAGTACACACATGATTGAATTACAATACACAAGTCAACCTTTTCGCGACAGTATATATTCAATTTATATTCAATACGAGTTGTTGAACAAAATACCCGTCTACGTATCTTTCCTATTATAAGTTTTATTTCGAATACGAAGTCTATTTAGATTTTTACTTAATATTCAGTTCAAATACTATAACATCTCTAAATTATTAATATGTACAAATTTAAAGAATATTTGAAATAATTCTGTGTACCCAATTCCCTATAATTTAAGAATACTATCTAAGACAATGTTAAACGAAGAGAGGTGAGATAAATGAAGGTCAAAAACACCAAAATACTGGACGGTTATTCTAGACAGATGATGTAACAATACAAGTTTTGTTGATTAAGTAATATAAAAGAGACCTTGTCCTAGAATCATCCGGCCAGTAATAAAGTACACGAACAATGAAGTCCTTTGAAAATTATGTGCAATGAAACACAATAATTTTGCTAGGGGCGACAAATAAACTTCGGACGACAATTATTTTGCCATCTCGTTCTGCTCTCCCTCCACAAAAGGCCTTATTGTCACAAACTGGTAGTGCATAGGATGGATGAAGGATTTAGAAAGTCATCTCTGGTCAGTAAATGAGTCACAGTTGCAGTTAGCATTCTAAATTAGCATGATTTTTCTCAGCGTCTTCGATGTTAAAATTATATCTTGATCCACTTCTACTTTCATATAGTTTTTAATAACACTGTTCGTCAGTAATTCGGTAAAGTCGAAATTGACACTTTGTTATTAATTTTGGTTGATCAACTCTGAAAACCCTTTTAGCAAATATGCATATTTGTGCTGAAAGTAGAGTTTTTGGTTTTATAGGATGTAAGATTATCTAAATACCAGCACGTGTGCCTATTTATTTGGTTCTTCCTTGTACCGTTTTCAGTAATAAGAAATTCTTTGTCAACAAGTTTAATAAATAAACATTCAAGAAGTTAGTGACATTGATGAGTCTCAATCTGATTAATGTAAAGGTATTAATCAAGATTCTTATGGTCCTATCTGGACCTCAGAACTGTAGTAAATCACTTTTTCTTTGTCAAAAAAAACTCTATGATTTGGTGAGAAATATGTGGCTATCAAAACAAAAGACTTCACTCTAGAATGATTTTCTGGCACAAGGAACAAGCATGACATCTTTCAGAAATGAAAGGTAATTTATTTGAATTTTATGTCAGGGAAGGATTTTTTGAGCGTGTTTCAACGATGGTATAAGAAAGAAACTACAGATAGAGCATTCTTCAGTGTGGCGTCTTTTTTTATATTTATTGGAGTGAGTTATAAATAATGAATAATGTTGTCAATTACTGTTCGACGTGATAACTATTTTAAAGAAGATGCTGATTAGTGGACATCTAATTAAGCTGTTGACAAAAAAGTTAATGTTTTAAACTTAAGGTGGCTTTAAGACATTAAAGTGAACTTAACTTAGCATTGGACGTCGTTTTAGAAAGGTGATTTGTAACACTGTCTTTAATGAAAGACTTTATCAAAACAAGTTATCAGATTGGAAATCGTTTGTGAATGTCAAAATTTTTAGATCACAAAAACGATGAATATTACCAAATCGACTTTAGAAGTACCTTTAGTCCTACCAAGTCCGGAGGTTTTGCATATCAATTCATTTCATTTTTTGCATTCTCGTTTGGATATTACCGGGAAAACTTGGCAAAGTTACGCACGTAGAGGGAAAAGGACAAACGTTTCCAAGAACATTAAGGACATTGTAAATCTGATATTAAGGTCATTGGGATCTAACAGTGATTGTGACTTCTGCTTGTCTCAGAATAAAATATTTGACACCTAATGTAACATTGTATTGCATTTAGGGCACGTTAATATATTTTTTAAATTTTGACTTCCCTTAAAATGTGATTTATATCAATTACAAAACTATTCTGGGTAAATGAAATCTAAAAGTAAGAAAACGCAGTTCTCTCAATTACATATTTCGACAATTTCTTTCAAAGTAGTTAAAATATTATAACAACAAAACTGTACTTATTAAGAGTTTTTTGATATTATTTTTGTATTCTGCACCGAAAAATTAATTTTATTTTTACTGACACGTTATTGTTTGTTATTTCTTCGATACGGAGTTCGATAAACGCTGCATAACGTCTTGATAGAGCGGATCGTGGCTGCGAGGGAGATATGAAAACAGTTGAATGATGCTACATCTTTTAATGGATAGAATTATTAGATTAAAATATGACAAGACAAATCAAGACAAGTTAAAATCTAGATAATTAGTAAATAAGTAATTTTGAATCATAAAAATAGATAAATAAAATATTGTGTGGGCCACGAGTGTTGAAGGGAAATAATCTCTAGCGACAAAAATCCCTCGACAAAAGGTACTCGGGCTTTTTGTCGCTGCTGGATCATTAGAATCCTTATAACGCCCTTCGCTCATAAAAAAAATACCCAGTTAATTTCATTTATGTACAACAAAAACGTCAATTTCTGTCGACCATTGCCGTTAGCTGATGTTTCGAGACAAGACAGCGGAATTTCGGATGAGATAATTATGGCTACATAACTAGCGAATTAAATTTGAATAATACATTAGATAACTACTTTCATTGTAATTAGTGCGCACAAGAAATTACGTCTTGTTTTCTTTGCATCTTTATGCATTTTTCAAGAGTGTCAAGTAACTTCCACATAAGAAACAATGAGTGTACAAAAGAATAAATTTGTTTTTATATTGTGTTCATTGATTGTCCATCAGTAGCCTCTCATGATTGTTGCACTCTGTTGCTGTATTCATACTTTGTTAGTAACATTTAAATGGTTTCTGTCATCGTTTACTCTAAAATAATATCAAGTTAAACATTAGATACATTCTAAATGATTGTGTGTTGCTGAGTTTAACTAATTGACGAAGTTCGCAATTAATTCAAATTTGCCTTCCTACTTGGAATTAAATCATTTTTGACTTTTCTTTGGGGTTAGTTAAGAGCAAAGAGCAGACATTTCAAACCTCGCGCCTTCGAGACAAACGTTTTTCGAATGAGACTCTTTGGAACGTATTTTTGAGCTCCTTTCAAAGACGACCGGAAGATTGCGCCACCCCCCGGGCGCTGCGCAGGGCATCATTGCGTTTTGTTGACAGGATCTGAGAAATCGACGCAGCAGGATCATATAGTAGAAAAATCAAAGCAGCCGAGCGGTTTTTCAAAGGATCGTTTCGCCAGGCTAGAAGATACGCATGTTGACTGAACATTGTATTACGTAAAGTTGGTATTAAATTTCCGAAGCTACACGCCGATAAATGCTAATTGCGGGCGATCCTCACGTATAATTCATTACAAACGACCGTAACAAGGTGTGAGGAAAACGCTTTCCTTGCGCGCACAGACAAATCCTTCAATACGTAATGATCCTTATTTTTAATTTGTTGCATTTGGATTGACGCAACGCATTCAAGCCCCTTGGGGCGTTGGGAGATTTGCACTTAGAGTAATCCTCCATTAATTTGTGCATTTGGAGTAATCCTCCATTAGCATTATCCGTCTTTGTCAAGTCCCGACGCAGTCAGTTGTCAAGAGGACCGCCAGGTAGCATCTCCGCGAATGCGCCTCCTACTATACTCCTGCGTCACTACCTAGAGGCCATAATTGGGAAGGAATGAGGATAGGGTTTAGGACCCTCCACAGAGGTTAGGCTAGACCTAGTGAGGCAACCGAACTCGATTTGGGAGAACAATTTCACATGAGATTGTTCGGGGATCGAACCCGGGTCTTCTTCGCGAAAGGCGAGTGACTTCGCTCAAAGCCATTGAGCCAGCTTACCCAACCCATCAAGCATTCTTAGGTCGAGGCGCTAACCGACTTGATTACTTATCGTTTTTAAAACCTTCTCTTGGGTCAAAGGATTACAAAGACGTGAAGCAGTTTCTGCGGAACCATATGTCCAAAAGCACTCAAAAAACTCATGCTATATTCGCAGTCTAAACAGTATATGAAATAAAATATTTGATCGAATCATATAGGTTGACAATAGAAACTGAATAGTTTTGAATGAAACAAACATTTAAACGTGTGAAATCGGGAAGTGACTTCATCAAGTGGAATTAGGCGCTACATTTGCACCAAATCTTGATGATGCAATGGAGAAACGTGCGTGATTGAGAGGTGCGTATTTTGTATTAAAACACGTTTCTTCAAACATCAATATTATATTTGAGATTAACCTCTCGAAACATACAGAAAGCTTTTCTGTTCTTTTACGAATTGAACGTACCACATGGATGGAAAGCTGATGATTAAATCTAGCAGAATTAATGAAAACAAAAAATCAGAAAATTGTTCTCCACTAATAGAGCGAAGGAAATTTTGAAGAGGAATTTCGAGCACTCATTAATTCGTCCCTATTTAGAACTTTGAGACTCAAAAACATGGAAGCGAGCGCAAAATATCAGGTGAGTGAGGAGATTACAGGTAATGTGATATTGGGCAAGTGTACAAATCTCTGGAATTATGATGTTCTTTATGGATTGAAAAACGAAAACCATGAATTTTACAAGCATAAAACAGCTTTATTCCATTTTCACAATACATATATAATTTAAATATATACAAAACATGTACAAAAAAACCTTAGCTTTATAAAATATTCTACACGAATATACAGTACTTAATACATTAAAGTCGGGCTCTTGCGTGGAGCCAGGCGCGCGGGGGGGCGGGGGACGTGGGCGGCGCCGCCCCGAGCAGCCACCCTTCACTAGAACCGAACCCGAGACCGGCGGTCGCCCGCCGGGGCCGGGGCCAAAAACAAAAAAAAGAAATGGGACTCAAGTCGTCACCGGGGACATGGCGGTGGGCGTCATCGAAGAGCCGTGCGGTGCGGTGGGGCGGGTTGCCGTCGGGTCTAGTACGGCCCGCCCCGCCGCGCTCGCAGCCGGCCGTGCGGTGCGGTGCGGTGGGGTGCGGGGGTCTAGTACGGCCCGCTGGGGGCGTCGTAGTTGTAGCCGCCCAGCCCCGAGACGGCGTCGCGGATGGCCTGGGCGCGCTGCTCGGCGCGCTGCGCCGCCGCCGCGCCCTCGGCAGTCTCCTCGTAGCGGATCTGCGGCTTGTAGCCCTCGGGCGTCGCCTCGTACTCCACGATCTGCGTGCGCCCGTCGGGCAGCACCACGCGGTACTCGCCCTGCGCGAACTCGTCCTGGCGGCTCTCCTGGTGGCCGAAGTCCGTGCCGGACTCGAAGTCCTGCACTTCGTACTGGAATTCGTAGTTGGCCGGTTCCTGCAAGCGGATCCGGGGGCGTTAGAGGGCTGGTGGGGGAGGTGGCGGCGCAAAGGCAATCAACTGCCCAATCAAACACTTGGAACCAAAGGATTGCGTTGGATTGAAGGTCTGAGACCGATAACATAATAATGTAGGCATTGTTATTGCTTATAGACACTCAGCCATCCCCAGTTATGTACTTAATATCTGTAACAAATGAATTAATAAATTGAAAAAAAGTGATACAAATCTAAGAACTGTATACTTGTGGAAGGAGTCGTAGAAAGTAATCCTCAAAGAAGAACAAAGAATGAGAGCTGGGTTTACAGAATGATTGCTTTGAACTTGATCAAGTCAGATATCTTAAGAAGTCCTTGCCTTTGCTTTCTATAATCTTTACATCACTCAGACTTAAGAATGGTACAACTATGATTTCATTGCTGTGCAATTTGCTGTACAAAAGATCGGCAATGATTACCCTGTCATCTTGATCATATGAATTAATAAGACAAAATGGTACAAATTCCCGAATCAATGGTATAATACATTTGGAAATGAGACGGGGATAGTTATACGTTTATTTCTGGTTGAAAGACAACCGGAACTTAATAGACCTTTGAGATCCCAGTGAGCTCTTAGTGAGCTGGAACGGAAAGCAGAACGAAAAATTGGTTTGACCTCACAATTGAAAGCTCAGCTGCGTAGCGAATCATGATATATCCGAGTAGCGAGCAAACCCCCCTCTGTAATTTGGCTCCGAACGACCATTACATCAAATAACCTTGAACCCCAAGAGCCAGTTCCGTTTAAGTGTGTTCCTAGTCGTTTGAATATATCACATTTGTCATACTTCGATTACCGATCCATCACATGGTGAGCATTTATACTTATTTTAGCAAGAAGTTAGTTAAGAAAGTCATGGAAGTAGTTACTTGACTCTTATACCAGTGACCAGCTACACAGCAAACGGGCATCATAGTAGGGACAAGTCACAGCTAAAGTAAAAATGTACTATAACGATATTTCAAGTTCAGCTACAGACGAAAATTCGAGTGGAAATGTTTAGTGAGGCAGTTTTCTTACTGTTTAGTTGTATTCTTTTAAGTTAAAGGGAAAAACTATTTTCATGATTACAATATTGTTTGAATGTTGTTCTAAAGTTCTGCGATTCACTGCGACAAATCGGAAATGTGATACTAGAATAATCAATAGTTTTGTCTGTTTCATGATTTTAAAAAGGACGTTAATATTTCACTACAAAAAACGACAAATTAGCAAAGATAGTTAAGTTTTCATCATTTATTAGTCATATTACGAAATAGTAGTTGAATAAATAATTATCAAAAGACGTTTTGAACATGGCTATTGTTTTGCCGCGTGGCTCCATCAAAGCAAGAGCAGAAAAAACGCGCGTGAGCAGCCATGTACCCCCTCGGCCGTCGCGTGCGCGCCGCCGTCCTCCTCGGGCACGTCCTCGCTGGCGTCCTCGCAGACGACGAGCGCGGGCGGCCAGCAGCCGCTACTTACAGCCAGGGGGTCCTCGGTGGTGCCGGACAGGGCGCCGTTGTAGCCTCCGAAGCCGGGGGCGCCGTAGACGGGGGCGGGGCCGTTGCCGAGACGGCTGGGCGCGCCCGCGGCCGCAGCCGAGTAGCTGGAGCCGCCGGCGCCGCCAAGGCCGCGTCCTCCGGCTCCGGGAGCGCCGTACACCGGGGAAGGAGCGCCGCTGCCGCTGAAGCGGCTGGCCGCGCCGGGAGCGCCGTACTGTGTGGAGGGGGCG